GTAAAGAGGTGGGGGCTGGGAGGGGGTAGGAGGAGAGGCAGGGAGGGGGGGGGGGGCACTGTGAGGACATCAGGGGGTCTGGCACAGGACAGAGTGTCGTGGATTCTTGGGAGGGGAGCGCTGAGTGGGAGAAGGAAGGCCATGAGGGCCAGGTCCGTGAGAAATGCGACAAAGTCAGGTTCCCAGAGCCCAGGGGGGAGAGGAGGGCAGCTTAAAACGGGGCCAGGGGCTGGACGCGGTGTTGTAACACCAAGGTCAAGGGTTCAGATCCCCATATCGGGCAGCTGCCAAGAACAACAACGTAAAAAGAGGGGGCCAGGAGCGGGGTGGGTCCCTTCCTGAGTTAACAAATAGTGGAGGTGGGGGGCTGAGGCCACTGCAGCTGTGTGACAGGAAGGCTATAGGAGCTGTGTGGGTGACAGCTGTGTCAGAGCGGGGGCCTGGGCAGAGAGGAAGAGGTGCGGAGGTCCAGGCATCCAGCAATGCTGGGTACTCGGGCTGTGTCCAGCACAGGTTTAGGCTGTAGCGGGGAACAGGACAAGCCGCTGCTATGTCAGGGCTCCCTTCTCTCCGGGGCAGATGAACAGAGAAACCAAGGGATATATGTGGAGACACCAGGTGGTGCTCAGGGCCATGAAGAAGAACGAGCAGTGTCAGGGGTAGTGGGCCATGGAGGGGACACATGGGGGGTCCGGGCAGAACTCTCTGAGAGGGTCACATTTGAGCTGGGACCTGCACAAAGTGAAACTCAGCCAGGAGGAAATCAGCCCCCTCCCCACCTCCCCCCAGAGACCCCCTTTCCTCATCCCATCCCCAGGCAGAACACTGTGAGCGGAAGGAGCAAAGGCTGTGTGGTGGGGACCAGCCAGCTGTGTGGGCAGAACAGCGGAGAGCCCAGTGTAGACAGAGAGAAGCTGGAGAGGGGCCTCGAGGCCGTATGAGGCTTCAGGTCTTTGCTGTGTGCCACGGGAGGGCTTCATGCAGAAGGGGACAAGCGCTGGCTTAGGATCCCCCAGCTGCCCAGTGGGGGAGAGTCCATGACAGGTTGGGGTGAGGTGTGTTGGGAAGGGCCATTTTTATGGAAAGATCTATTTTTAAAATTAATTTTATTATTTTTTTTGGCAGCTGGCTGGTACAGGGATTGAACGTTGGACCTTGGTGTAGTCAGCACCACGCTCCAACCAACTAAGCTAACTGGCCAGCTCTTTATGGAAAGATCTAGACATCCAATGGGGCCAGGGTGGGTCTCCATGAGTCATCTGCTCTTCACCCCAGAGTTCCTGGCTGTGCAAAGGGCTAGAGGGAGGCAGGGATGGGCAGGAAGGGAGGGCTGAGTGGAGCTGGAGGACTGAAGGGCCTGAATAAGAGCCTGGGCTCCTAGAAGATTCTACAGACATAGTAGAGATGATTCGATCTGCTGGGGTCAGGGGAGGGTCCTGAGGATAGAAGGAGGACTGGACAGAGAAGACAGGGCAGGCTGGGAGAAAGGACTGCTCTGTGGAAACGTCACCACCAGGCTGCTCTGTGCCAAGCAGATTCCTCCTGTTGGGGAATTTGAGCCTACTGTCCCTCCTGTTGGGGAATTTGAGCCGGGCGGAGAGGAGGTTAAAGGAGCTCTTTGTAACGTGCACAGCCCAGGGCCTGGCATGGAGTGAAGCGGCCTGGGTAATGGCAGTTCCATTGTCGGCTGACCCTGAGGTCCTGACATGGGTGCTGTGGCGTGAGGCACGGTGCCTGAACTTCTGTGAGCCTCTTGGGTTGGGGAAATGGGGATCTTAAGACCTCCCTGAGAGCTCGTGATGAGAAGTGAACAGTCTGAACCATTCCAGGCTCACAGCCAGGCGTCCGGCACGCAGGAGGTGCTCAACAGACAGTTGTGATGTCACCGTGGCAGACAGTGTGGTCAAGGCTTTTATGGGAGAAAGGGAGGGGTGGACATGATGCCCTGTGAGTCTCCCCAGTTCTTGAGGATGTCAGGATGCCTTCACACGTGGGGGGGCGCTATTATCCCATTTTACACATGTAGACACCAAGGCCCAGTTGGGGGCAGGACTTGCCTAAAGGGGAAAGCGCAGAGCAGAACTGGCATGTCCTGCCTACAGGGGCTGCTCCGCCTGTATCAGAACTGTCTGGTGGACAGGGGTGGCCCCAGGAAAGAGGTGTCCCAGCCCACATAGGCAGGGCTGTGTCTGGCTACTGGGGCAGGCGGCAGGAGTGGGGGAAGGGCCAAAGTTCCTTTGACCCCATGTCAGCCTCACTGGCTGGATCGTGAGGATGCTCGTTTTCCCTCGGTGTCTCCCCAGGGAGAAGGCCCCCAGAGAAAAGCCCAGCCAGCCTGCCCTCGGGCAGCCCCGGCAGGGACCCACCGATGAGGCGCAGATGGCTGCTGCAGCAGCCCTGGCCCGACTGGAGCAGAAGCAGCCCAGGGCCCGGGGCCCCACGTCGCAGGACTCCATCCGGAACCAGGGTGAGCAGCGGCCATCCTTGGGCTGAGGCCAGGAGGCTGTTCTTGAGTCCCAGACTTGGTGCTCAGTTCTGGATGAATATAGTTATATGAACAATGCGTGGGGTGGGTGTGGAGTTAAAGTCACAGCTGGGACTGTGTCCCCAGAGGGGAAATGCAGGGTGAAAAAGCCAAAGCAGGGGCCGAGCCCTTGGCGCACTCGGGAGAGTGTGGCGCTGGGAGTGCAGCAGCGCTCTCGCCGCAGGTTCGGATCCTATATAGGGATGAACGGTGCGCTCACTGGCTGAGTGCGGTGCGGCCGGTCTCAAAAAAAAAAGGACAAAAAAAAAAAAAAAAAAAAAAAAGCCAAAGCAGGCCTGATGTGGTCAGGGGGGCAGATGGGAGCAGAGGCTTCGAGGAGGAAGAGCGGGGGTCAGACGGAGGCTGTAGGTGGGGATGGTTCAGGCAGAGGGTTGGGCACAGACCGAGCCCTGCAGGAAGGACTAGAACTTAACCATAGCAGGAGGACCAGGGCCCAGGGAGAACATGCCTAACTCAGGCCCAGCACGGATGCAAGGGGCTCTGGGCGGCCTGCACATGTCCCATCTCTGCCTCTCCCATCACTCTGTCTCCCTCCCAGTGAGAAAGGAGCTGCAGGCTGAAGCAACTGTCAGTCATCTCTGCCTCTCCCATCACTCTGTCTCCCTCCCAGTGAGAAAGGAGCTGCAGGCTGAAGCGACTGTCAGCGGAAGCCCGGAGGTCCCCAGCACCAACATGGTAAAGGCACCTTTGGGTGGAAGCATCACTCCCTGAGGGCGGCCTGCAGTGGGGGCAGCTTGGACCCCATGAAGGGCCCACCATGAGAGGGGGACACACATAGGAAGTATCATCCCTGCCCTCGGGGCTGCAGGCACCTGAGAAAGCCTGCCTTGAACGCAGAGGCAGCTGAGGTTGAGCCTGGCAGTGTCTGTGCTGGGACCTTCTGGGCACAGCACTTGAGGATGCCCAGCTTGGGTGCTGAGGGATGGACTTGACCCACATTAGCTCCTTGGTTCCTCCTGTAACCCCTTAGGGTGGGCGCTGTTGTCATTCCCACCTTTTGGAAGAGAAAGCAGATTCAAAGCAGCAAAGTCAGCTGTCCTCTAGCCTACACCTCAAAACCAGCCAGGGTAGGGCTGGAAGCACAGCCTGTGTGCCTCCAAAGCCCACACCAAAGCCCTCCCCTGGCTGCCTCGGGTGTTGGAGGGCTCCATGGAGACTGGTACAGTCAAGGAGGACATGCTGTAGGAGACGGGCCTCAAAGGAGAGCTCTGCCGGAAGGGTGTTCCAAGCTCCTCAACCCACGAGGACTCACTGAGTTTTAGCATGGAAGAGACCCTAGAGATTGCCTAACAGTCGAGGACCAGAGAGAGGCTAGGACTTGTCCAGGGAACTGTGCCTTCTGACCCCAGCACAAAGCTCCTTCCTCAGCAGGTGGAGAGGACAGTCTAGTAGGAGCCCAGGTGGCCATTACTGTGTATCAGAAGCTGCCATGTGCTTTCTATTCCTGCCCTTGTTTAATTCTGAGGTGGCCCCGCAGGGACATTTTACAGACCAGAAAACCGGCTCGGGACGGGGTTCAGTTACTTGGCCAGGGTGTCTCCCACAGCTGACAAGCAGAGGGGGAGACAGTGTTGGAGCAGGGTTGTCTGGCTCTAAGGGCCATGCTCTTAGGATTGGCAGTTGGTGGCTCGGAGGTGGCCTCTGTCCACAGTCCAGGCTCAGACACTGTCACCCTCCCTTTCCCCCACAGGTAACTGAGCCCAAAGAGGAAGGCTCAACCCACCTGGCTGTGCCCGGCGTGTATTTCACCTGCCCGCTCACAGGGGCCACTCTGAGGAAGGACCAACGGGATGCCTGCATTAAAGAGGCCATTCTCTCGGTGAGTGGTGGCCCTTTGTGTCCCGTCCCCCCAACCAAAAGCTTCCAGGGCAGGAGTCACCTCCAGGAATCCCAGGTGGCACAGATGCCTCACGAAGTCTTGCAGCTGTTTTGATTGTATGATTTTATTTGCTGTAAAGGATTAAATACTTACATGACGGACAGAATTCAAAAGGTACAAAAGAGTCGATGAAGAAAGGTTTTCCTCCTATTGTCGGCCATGCCTCCTCTCCTGAGGCCACTGCAAGTAGTTTAGGTCCCTTTTCCAGGATCTCCCACCTGTGTACAAACTTGCCGTCGTCTTGCCTCACTTGTTGTGTGGATGTTTTACATAAAAGTTCACGTGCTGCTCACTCTTAACATGTAGACTTCAGGGCAACGTATCAGTACACAGAGAAGTTCTATAGCATTGTTTCTCCTTGTAACTCTCTGGAAATAATTTCCCACTTAAAGAAAAATTACAAGAATAACACAAAGAACCCTAAATACCCTTTACCAGGGGTATGAATTTCTGGTGGCTTTTATGACAAATTATTGTAAACTTGATCCTCCAGGGGAGGATCCGTGTCCTCCTTTCCCAGCTTCTAGAGGTGCCCACAGCTCTCAGCTCATGGCTTCTTCCTCTGACTTCAAAGCCAGCAATGCCAGGCCAAATCTTTCTCAAGCTGCCGTCTCTCTGGTTCACTCCCTTCCCTTTTTGAGAACCCTTGTGATCACAGTGGGCCCACCTGGAGAATCCAAGATAATCTCCCTATTTTAAGGTCATCTGATTAGCAGCCTTAATTCCATTTGCCACTTTAATTCCCCCTTGCCATGTAACTTAGCATATTCACAGGTTCCAGGGATAAGGACATGAATCTTTGAGGGAGGGGCATTAGTCTGCCTGCCGTACCCACATTTACCATGTTAACAGATTTTACCCATTTGCTTTATCAGCCCTCTCTATTTTTTTCTGAACCATTTGAAAGTTCTGCAGTCTCTTGAACTGCATAATGCTGTAACTTATTTGAGCAGCCCCTGTTGACGAGCATGTAGGATATTTCCAACTTTTGCTAGTAAGAGCAGTTATGCAACAACTGACACCTTGCTGCACGTCACTTCATGCTGTAGGCTCAGTTCCGGAAGAGTTGTTGTTGGGACAGAGGACACTGTGTAGTGGTAGTTTGGTTGGTTGTAACCAGATGATCTCCATAGGGGTCATCCTGATTCATGCTCCCCCCAGCAGCTTGTGGGAAAGCACCGTTTCCCCATCAGTTGTTTGAGTTCTTTATATATTCTGGATATTAGTCCTTTGTCAGATGTGTATTTTTTTTTTTTTTTTTTTGTCTTTTTCCGTGTCCGGCAACGGATCGCAACCCCCAGTGTTGCCCCTGTACCGGACCAGGGACCGGCAACGGGATTGCAAACCTCGGCGTTGCTCCCGCGCCTCGCTCAGCCAGTGAGCGGGAGCCGGTCCGTATGTGGGATCCGAACCCTCGGGCGGGAGCGCCACCACGCTTCCCAAGCGGCGCACTATCCAGTGCGCCACTGGGCCGGCCCATACTTTCTGATTTTTACCCAAATTCACAGGTGAAAATATTTCAGGATAGATTTACTTTCCATTTCCCTTATTTGGGGTTAGGTTGGCTATGTTTTCATATGAGAATGCATCCTATGCCCATTTTTCTGTTGAGTAGTTGGTCTTTTTTTCTTGTTGATTTGTAGGCACTGTTTACATATTAGGGAAAGTAGGCTTTGGCGTATACGTTGCAAATGTTTTTGCCCAGTTTTTTTTTTATTCTGCTTATGGTCACTGCGATGTAGAAATTCTTGATTTCTGTATAATTAAATGCATCAGTCTTATGGAATCTGGGGTTTGGGTCCTATTTAGAAAGGCTTTTCCCACTTCAATATTAAAGTAATTCTTTTGCTTTTCTATTTTGTTTATTTTGTTTTAATGTTTAAAGGGCCCTTTGATCTAACTAGGATTTATCCTTGCATAAAGTATGAGGTGTCAAGCCAATGTTATTTTCCAGATAGCTGATCAGTGTTTTCTTAACCACATATACTGATAGCACCTGTCTTTTGCTCACATATGTGAAATCCTCCCTTTATCACAGAGGAAATTGTTGCGTGGATTCCTTCCTGGACATCTGTTCTTTTGTCCCTTGTCTGTTCAGGTACCCTGGTCCTGACTTAAACATGGTGGCAGGTCACCTAGAAACACCTGAGAGCAGCAGCACTTCCCTGGGGGTGGGAGTGCTGGTCCCCAGGCGCTTCGGTCCTGAGGAAGCTCGTCTCATGAGGATGCTGTACCGTGCCCGTCTTGCTGCTACTCTCTGCCTTTCTCTGCAGACCTGCCTTCTCCCCCATGTGCAGTGGTTCCCGAGCAGGGACAGATTTGCTCCTCACTTAGGTGACCCATTCTCAGCCTCACCCCACCGGGATGCTGTTTGTAGAGTCCCAGAGGCTGGCTCTGTGAAACCTCTGAGTTCCAGCTGTGATCCCTCCCCTCCCCCATGGAAACAGGTGGGACCCCAGGGAGGGACGGGAGCTATCAGTATTCCAGTTTCTCTGCCTCCCCTGGCTAGGCGCCAGACATCAAGGGATCACAGGCCTCCTTTGCATCTTTTCTATGCCATCTGACACATGTAGCCCTGATGAGGGACTTGTCACCTTTCAGTCTGTTTCTTCATCTGAAACCTGGGAGTCAGTACAGAACTTTCCTGGTAGGGCTGTGAGGAGATCAGGAGGGCTGGTGTGGCCATGGTAGCTGGTGGAGCCCAGGGGCTCAGTAAGCAGCAAAGGCCTCTGTGGGGTTCAGTCCTGGAGTTTTGGGCTCTGAAGCCAGAGTGTAAGGCAAAGGTCTTTTGAGTCCAATTCACCCCAGAAGTCCTGTCAGTCTGGGCCTTTAGAAGGCAAAAGGGTAGACCTTCCTCCTCTTCTGTTTTGGTTGTAGGCACCCTTTACCCTAGAGCAGGAGGCAAAGTTGGGGACTCCGAGAGGATCTTTCTCCTTTTCCTGCTGAGCACAGACACTTGTGTTTGCTTTAATTAAATGCTACTGCTCTGCTGCAAGGCGGTCATGGTGACTAGTCCTGGGACTCCTCCCGTCATCCAGCAGCGAGTAGGCCAGTGGAGACTCCTCTGGGCCACACGCGTACACACATCCACACGCTTCCTCTTCCCCCAGCACTTTTCCACGGACCCAGTGGCTGCCTCCATCATGAAGATCCACACATTCAACAAAGACCGGGACAGGGTGAAGCTGGGCGTGGACACCATCGCCAAGTGAGTGGGTTGCCCCTGCGGGGCCCGCAGCAGCCGCTCACCCCAGGCCCCTCGCCCACTGGGGCTGTCACCAGCTCAGGCCTTCATCACAACCTGCTGAGGTGGGCCTGAAGGAGCATGAATTGAGAGTGAAACCAGCTCCACCCTCCATACCCTCCCCCTCCCACGAGCCCCTGGGGAAAGGCTGGGTCGCTCCAGGCCTCAGTTTATCTGTTTGTAAAACAAAGGGGTTTAAGGAATTGGGGGTTCCAAACCTTGGCTCCCCTTGGTGATCATCTGGAGAACAGGAGGGAGGAGGCAGGGTCTGAGCCCAGTCCCCACATCTGATTGAGCAGGTCAGGTGCCTGGAGGTCCTTGTGTTCTCCAGCCCCCAAGCACCTGAACTGCTGTCCCCCTGGGGGCAGGAGATCAGAGGAGCCAGGTGGCCAGCCTGGGACTGCGCCCTGTGCACCCCTCCGCCTACCACCAGGTACCTGGACAACATCCACCTGCATCCCGAGGAAGAGAAGTACCGGAAGATCAAGCTGCAGAACAAGGTGTTCCAGGTGAGGGCTGCCTTCCGGGGTGGCTTAACCCAGTGTGGGCACTATGGCCTGTACTGCACCATCATGCAGGACCCAGTCTGGGTTGGGGGGCAGCTGCCCGCTCACAGCCAATGGCAGCCCAGGATGGACCTGGGGGCCTCCCTGGAGGAGCTGGCGTGTGAGTTCAGCCCTGAGCAGTGAAGGGTCATGGCTGGCAGAGGTAGCAGGGCGGGGAGCAAGGGCTTTAGGAACAGAAATCACACAAAGACATGAATTTTGTCTGCTCCTCCTCCTCCCCCAGCATATTTTGATTCTTCATCATTTTATTTGGGGAGATTTTTCATGCAAACACAGACTTACGGCTTCTCCGGAGAAATGGTATGGACTAGCTGCCTGCCTGTGTGACCTGTGCAGTCAGTGTCTGATGCTGATGGCCACAGAGGCCCTCTGCCTACAATCCCAGCACAGCACATTCAGCCCACTTCCTTGCTGTGGGACCACCCCAGCAGTCCTCTGGCTCTTCAGCCTTATTCTTCACCCCTGGCTGTTGACCCTTGGGGTCCCACACCCTCTGTGAGCAGATGATGGAAACTGCCCAGCTGAGACAGCTTCTGGGAGTCAGTCCCCACCTGGGGTCAGCAGCATTCCCAAAAGGGGGATGCTGGGCCAGGCGTGGTGTAGCTAGGGTGGAGGTGGCCGGGGCCCCACTGACCTCTGGGTCCACTCCCAGGAGCGCATTAACTGCCTGGAAGGCACCCACGAGTTTTTTGAGGCCATTGGGTTCCAGAAAATGATGCTTCCAGTTCCTGATCAGGGTAAGAGGAGAAAAGGGCCTTGGCTGGACCGGGAGGTGGGGACGAGGGGCCTCAAGGTAGGGGGCACCTCGCTGTGGTAGAGTGACTTCTGTGCTGTGCTGCAGAGGGTGCTGAGGAGTTCTACGTGCTGAGCGAGGCCATCCTGGCCCAGCCCCAGAGCCTGGAGAGGCACAAGGAGCAGCTACTCAGCGCTGAGCCTGTGCGGGCCAAGCTGGACAGGCAGCGCCGGGTCTTCAGGCCCTCGCCCCTGGCCTCACAGTTCGACCTGCCCGTGGACTTCTTCAGCCTCACGGCGGAGGAGATCAAGCGGGAGCAGAGGCTCAGGTGGGCAGCGGGCCTGGGGGGACAGGGGTGGGGCAGCCGGGGGCCAGCCGGCTTGAGCCTGGCTCTGGCGGTGCCCAGGTCTGACGCTGTGGAGCGGCTGAGCGTGCTGCGCACCAAGGCCATGCGAGAAAAAGAGGAGCAGAGGGAGCTGCGCAAGTATACCTACACACTGCTGCGCGTGCGCCTCCCAAACGGCTGCCTGCTGCAGGGTGTGCCCCAGGGGCTCAGCTCAGGGAGTGGGCGGTGGCCATCCTGCAGGGAGCCCATGGCTTCACAGGTCTGAGCTACAGTCCTGGAGGCAGTGCCCCCAGCCCCGTTTACAGATGATGCCACAGCCAGGGAGGGAAGCTGGGGTGGGCCCTGGCCCTGGCCTGACTGTCCCACTGTCCAGGGACCTTCTATGCACGGGAGCGGCTGCCGGCGCTCTATGCGTTTGTCCGGGAGGCTTTGGAGAATGATTGGCTGCCTTTTGAGCTTCTGGCTTCCGGAGGGCAGAAGTTGTCGGAGGACGAGAACCTGGCCTTGAACGAGTGCGGGCTGGTGAGTGCTCCTGCCGGTGTGTCTGCAGTGGTCATTTCACTTGAATCTGCTCAAATTCTGGAGGATGGAGGTGTTCTTGAACACTGGGCAGCACTTAGGGGTGGGGGCCCTGGGCCAGGTTCCCTGCATTTAAATCCTACCTTCCCACTCAGTGGCAGTGTGACGTGAAACAAGTTCATAACTTCTATGTGCTTCACTTTTCCACCTGTAAATTGGGAGTAGTGGCAAGTGTGCTAGTTCGAGTCCCTGAGGAACAGAACCGAGGTGTGATTAGTCATGCGGGCATTTATTGAGCAGGAAACAAGAGGGGGCCTGATGCAGGCTCGACCCTGTGAAGGGAGGTGGGGAAAGCAGGACCTCAACATGTCCTTCTGCTGTACTGTCACCAAGAGACAAGGTGGCTGTCTGACCACTCCACTGCAGGTGCCCTCAGCCCTCCTGACTTTCTCGTGGGACATAGCCGTGCTAGAGGACATCAAGGCTGCAGGGGCTGAGCCAGACTCGTCAATCCTGAAACCTGAGCTCCTGTCAGCCATTGAGATACTCTCATGAAATAAAAGCAGGGTTGGCTTCAGCCCTGTGGGTCTGTTTTATGCTCTCCCCGCCCTGTCCCCCGCCTCTGGAGCCTCCCAGGCACCTGGAAACACTCATCTATCTTCTGGGGCACCGAGGGGCACTGGCTGGCTGAGGACACTGTGGAGCTGGGCCTGTGCCCACCCTGGGAGAGCCCAGGGGCAGCACCAACCCAAGCCCTCTGCAGCTGCTCTTAACCATTTTCACAAAGCCCCTGGGGCAGACAGATGTGGGTGGCTTCCTGAGCAGGAGAGCTGGTCTGTAGCGTGGGCCCAGCTCCAGCAGGCTCTGGACAGAGGTGGCCACGTCCAGTGCTGTGAGGCTGCTTAGGGGGGAGCTGGTGACATTGGCAGGTGGGGGAGATGCTTGCCTGTCAGCACATGTGCAATGATTTAAGTTATGACCCAAATAAATAGGATATTTGAATGTGGTTTCCTGGTGCTGAATTCACACCGTGCAACACAGGGCAAGGTCGGCAGCCTTTGGGCAGGCCAGCGTTGCTTGAGGGGAAGTCCTGCAAATTAGGCAAGGGCTGTGCCAAGCATATGAAGCCACAGTCACTCTTGGCCCTCCCCCAGCTCTGGGGGGCAGGTGCTTCCACAGGCCTGGTTTTACTGTGACCAGGACAATCTTCCCCAGAGACGGCCATGCCCTGTTCCTGGGACCTGTGGATATGTCACTTTCCATGGCAAAGGGAATCTGCAGATGAGATGAAGTTAAAGACCTTGAAATGGAAGATCATCCTGGGTTATCCAAGGGCCCAGTATCCTCATGTGGTCCTCCTAAAAGGGAGCAGGAGGGTCAAGAGTCAGAGAGACTGGGAGATGCTGCGCTGATGGCTTTGCAGACTGTATGTAGTCTGTTTCTGTTGCTTATAACAAAATACCTGGAACTGTGATATATAAAGAAAACGAAACGTACTGCTTACAGTTTCGGAGGCTGGGAATTCCAAGGTCCAGGGAACACATCTGGTGAGGGTCTTGGTGGTGGCGACAGTGGCAGCAGGGTTATCACATTGCAAAACAGCAGAGACTAACCTCTCATGTGCTCTCCTTTAAAGCCCTCAGAACAACACCCCTGACCACCATGACTAATCCATTCACTACAGAGTGGTCCTACAATCTAATCCCCTCTCGAAGGCCCCACCTCTCAATTACCGTAATAGGATTTCCCACCCTCAAGTTACAGTGGGGATTTAAGCTTCAGTGAGGTTGGGGTGGGTATCCAGTCTATAGCACAGAGGAAGTGGTCACGTGCCAAGAGCTGCAGGCGCCTCTAGAAGCTAGGAAAGGAGGACACGGATCCTCCCGTGCAGACTCCAGGAGGGACCAGCCCTGCCCACACCTTGACTCTAGCTCAGTGAGAGCCATTTCAGACTCCTGATCTCTAGAACTGTAAAATAATAAATGTGTTGTTTTAAACCACTGTTTGTGGTCATGTTACAGCAGCCCCAGGACACTCACAGGGAAGCTGAGGCCTGGAGTGTTGAGGGCACATGCCCCGGCCCCACTGCTGAGGCTGCAAATGTGATTTATTTTTTCTCCCAAATGTGATTTAAAAGTCTTTTATAGAGAGGGCTGGCTCCATGGCTCACTCGGGAGAGTGCAACACTGGTAGCGCCAAGGCTGTGGGTTTGGATCCCATATAGGGATGGCCAGTGTGCTCACTGGCTGAGCGTGGTGCGGACCACACCATGCCAAGGGTTGCGATCCCTTATCGGTGAAGAAAAAAAAAAAAGTCTTTTATAGAGAATTCAGTAGCGAAAGCAACGTCCCTTGCAGTCCCGCCAGCCAGGAGCCCCCAGCATGTGCCACACTTGGGTCACCCCCTGAGCCGCCAGCTGCTGGGGCAGAAACTGGGCATGTTGTTCACTACCCCACCTTGGGAAGCCAGCACTGCCGAGGGTGCTCTGTGTGGAGAACCGAAGATGTCATTCTGGTCCCACATTGCCTGCCTGCCCCAGCTGTGACTAGGACTTGACCCCAAGTTTTGGGGCCCAGTACAGCGAGTCTCGGGCCACTGCCCATCCCTGAGTCAGGGGGGATGGACTAGGTTGACCAGCACCCTCCCCCTGTGACTGGGGTACTTGCCAGCTCATCCAGATAGGGTTAGGGAGTGGGGTCCCCAAAGAAAAATCAGGGTGTGGTCAGGAGAAGCAAGTCTGGGTGAGCGTGGGGCCAGGGCCACCCCATCTCGGCTGTGTCCCGCCAACGCTGAATTGCTCTACATGGACACGGCCGCTTTCCTCCCTTGGGAGAGGTGGGGAGGATGAGAGTCCTGTCCCAGGAATGGAGTCCATGAACTCTGGATCTAGATTCAATGAAGGACACGCCCAGACTCAGCTCTCCCAGGCATGCCTCTGTCAGGGCCCATCACAGCCTGCACATAGGGAGGGATGCTCTGGAGTCACCTCTTCTTCAGACCCAGCATGCCCCAAGAGTTGCTCGACCTAGAGCTCGGTCTCATCAAGCCTCAGACTCGAAGCCAGACCTCAGGCTCCCAGAGGCCGTTGGCTGAGGAACCAGCAGATCTCCCGGGAACCCATCCTCCTCACCCATCTGGCGGGCTGGAAAGATGAACTGGCTGAAGCATATGCTGAGAAACCCTCACCCTGAACTGGGTCCACCAGGGAGGACGAGGACTTGGCAACACACAGATGGGACGGCACCTCTGCAGCGCACAAAGCTTTACACAAATGTCACGCATAGGGCTGGGCCACAGGCAAACAGGCACCCACACTCAAAGAAGACAGACAGACTGGCTCAGGGCTGGAGAATAAGTTTATACACTTCACGGGGGGGCCCGAAGCCGCGTCACATGTGCCCACGGTGGGCGGGCGTCTCGGGAGCTTCAATTCATTTACAAGTGTCAATCCCAGCACTGGTCACGTGCCTACTGGGCGTGAGCAGGCTTCCCCTATAACTCATTATGTTTCAATAATGCTTTATTAAAAGGCAGGTTAATATGCAGCTTTTTTGGGAAGTTTTTTACAAAGGTCAAGAACTAATCAAGCATCCTATATAAAACTTTCCAAACCTCCGGGAGGTCTGTGAAGCAGTACAAAGTGCTCTTTACACAGGAATCGGGAGAATGTTCAAGTATCTGATCCGCGTTCGAGGGGGCCCTAACCATTCTACATACATGCACCAGCTCGGCCTGGTGGGGACGCTCTCAGGAGGTGCTCAGAGGGCTCACAGGCAGGGGGCTGTCGCTGGTGTCCATTCCCATGGCACCCCCAGCTCCGGAAGCAGCTCCACATGAGGCCTGGACCTCTGGAAGGCAAGTGGGGGAGGGGTCTTCAGGCACTGTCCCCACTGGGGTCCTCCATCCGACAGTGGAAAGACGTGGAGGCACTGCAACCCCCAGACTACACAGAGGGAGCTCTGGTCACTGGGCCCCCTTCTAGAGAGCTGTACCTGCCCATCTGCCCTTAGGCAGATCCTGTCCCCTCCTCAGCACAAGGCCCTGCCCTGGCTCCAGCCTCACTCAGAGCAGGAGCCAAATCTCAGCCCCTCCTGCCACCCACCTCCTGCTCGGCTGTGCTCACCACAGGACCTTTGCACCTCCCTCTGCCTGGATCACTCTTCCCCAGAAATCAACCTGCAACCCCCCACCTCAGCAAGACCTTCCCTGAACCCCCCACGTAAAGCTAAAACCCCCAAGACTCCCATCACATTGCTTCACAGCACTGGCTTTTGAAAGGAGCTTCAGAAACAGCACCTGAGACGTGGTCAGCACCCACATAGGTCCTCCCATCCCCACGTGGACACAGACCAAACTCTGGGCCCTGCCGGTAGCTGTCGCTGCAGTGTGCATGCTTGCTGTGGGCCGGCCCCTTCCCTTCCTCACTGAGGTTTTAGTGCTTCCTGGTGGCACTTCTCAGTGAGCCTGACCCTTTAGGGAGGGAGGTCCCATGGCAAGGGTGAGGACGTCGAGGCAGCACCAGGGCCAAGGGGCTATGGAGCTCACGCTGTCATGGAACACCAGGACTCACACCTGTCCTGGGGCTCCCATGTGATCCCATGAGCTGCAAGGGGCTCCCAGAGCCACAGGCACAGCTGCCCTGACGCCCTCCCCTGACAGGGTCCACTCGCTGTCTGCCCAGCAGCCACCACGCACATCTAATCCTTTGGTCTCTGAAGTATGGTTCTTCAGACAGAGAAGGATCTCACAGGGCTGGAACTGGAGCCCATGGCCCTGATGCAGTGTGAGCCCAGCCCAGCCCAGCCCGCTCCTGCCAAGGCTTTTAACTCAGCCCTGTTATTTACAGAGCTAGCGAGCTGGTAAGCGAGAGCAGGAGCTTCCCTTCCTGCCAGCACGAATGGCAGGGGAGGTGGGGTATGGAGCCCTCCTCACCCCCAACGTCTGGGATGTCCACGATCATACAGTCACCCTCCTCTTCCTCCTCCTCCTCCGTGTCCGCCTGGAAGCCGTCCATGTCCTCAGCTCCAACCTGCATAGACAAGGTGTATGGCCATCAGCAGGGCAGGCAACAGGGGAGACCCCTGCACTGGGCCTGGGCGGTGACTGTGTCACAGGCCTCTGCAGGGTGAGACTCCTCCTTTCCTCCCTCCCCACAATGAGATGCTTCCGACCAACCTCCTTGACCCAATGTGGCAACAAATTCTCCAGGCTTGAGAAGTTTGAGAGCCTATGACCAGAGGAAAACGTCGGGGGTTCTCCAGAATGAACTGAACTCACATCTCCAAAAGCTACTGCTATTACTACCTACCTTATTACAGAAGTGACCTGTAAGTTAGTTTTGAATTACAAAGGGATTCTGGGGCTGGCCAGTTAGCCCAGTTGGTTAGAGCTTGGTGTTATGACACCAAGGTCAAGGGTTCAGATTCCCATACCAGCCAGTCACCAAAAAAAAAGAAAAGGGGATTCTGGGTTTCTGGTTTGGTAAAAGAGAAATTGATGAAGCACATATTTTTATCTGAATTTATTATTTTAAATAAATGGCTAAGAACTCAGCCAGTATTTTCCTCTGTGCACACCTCCCCTCTGCCCGGCACCTGGCATTTTTTTTTTTCTCTTTAAAAGATGACCGGTAAGGGGATCTTAATCCTTGACTTGGTGTTGTCAGCACCACGCTCACCCAGTGAGCGAACTGGCCATCCCTATATAGGGATCCAAACCCAGCGTCTTAGTGTTATCAGCACCGCACTCTCCCGAGTGAGCCACGGGCCGGCCCCACCTGGCATTTTTTCCATCTGACTTATGCTCAGTGAGAACACTGTCTGGGCAACTGTGGGCAAGGGTCAGGAGCACATACCATTCACAGTTTAGCAAGAACCATCCCTCCCTGAGGGTGTGGTTAGTGGCCTCATCAAATGCCCGGGGAACGTCCCATTCCTGCACAGCCACACTCTGTGTCCCTCTCTGTGCAAGCTCTGGGCAGCGGCAGGCCCTGCTCCCTGCATGCCCCAAGGCTGTTCTCCCACCTCCACCTCTTACAAACAGGACTGGGATATTGCTAGGGGAGGGGGGGTGGGTCTCATTTCCCTGACTCTTTTGCAGCTCTGGGTGGCCAGTGAGGGCTTCTCCTTCCTGCTCAACAGGAAGCTCCCCCAGGGAGGGCTCTGGCTACCCTTGTCCTGCAACCACAGGACGGAGGCCATACTACAGGAGGAGGGGAGACGGGCAGAGCTTGACCCAGATGATGGTGTTGTCACAGCATCCTGGGACTTCTTGTTGGAAACGGGGGACACTCTGTTACTTGCAGCTTAACGCAATCCCAACAGATCCAAGTGCTGCTGAGGAGGGTTGTTGCACCTTCAGCATGGAGGACCTGCTCCCAGGATGTCCCAAGGAGACAGGTCCTTCCCTGAAGTGCCTGCTGTGCCCGCCCAAACTCCCCCAAAGTATGGTTCTGGGACACTTTGCATCAGATTCCCTGAGGTGAGTCGTAAAGATGCAGACTTCAGCCCACCCCACCCCTCCAGACCTACTAGATCAGAATTGCCAGGGGGCATGCACACCTAGGAATTTGAGTTTTCAACCTGAACCACTGTAGGCTTCCGGGTGTGGTGGTTAAGTACTGAGCCAGGCCTGTGCCTCTCGACTCATTCACCAAGTAGCCTTTGGTGAGTCCCTCTGGTCACTGGGCCTCCACAGTCCCTCACCCGTGGAAGGGGAGGGGAGACCACCACCCACACATGGCCACATTCACCCTTGTTAGCAGGTGAGATGCTGCCTTTTACTGACTCCGAGGCCCATGCTTTCCCTTGTCAGCCTCTCTCACCTGCCTTAGTTTATTTGGGAGCATTTTCTAGGTCCTGGTGATTTAGATGAGATGACGAGGCATCCCATCACCCATGAAGTGTAGGAATTCACACACGATGCTCAGCACAGTGCCTGGCATGCAGGGTTCAAACTACTGTTTCCCACATGGGAACATGGATTACATGCACTAATGATGATGCCACCATTAGGGAGAAGAAAAACGGAGCAGTGCTCGGGAAACGCGGGACAAGATGCCACATATCATAACAGGAGACAGAGCAACCACAGCACGCAAGACTGGAGTGGGAAGATGAGGAGACCCCGACGGAACACACAAGGGGTACAGCGGTTCCCCAGGGAGAGCTGATGGGGACCAAGGCCCATGAACACCATGTGGATGATACAAAGGTTGTCTTCCAGCCTGGTCATTTTCTTTCTTTCTTTTTTTTTTTTTAAAAGATGACCGGTAAGGGGATCTCAACCCTTGGCTTGGTGTTGTCAGCACCACGCTCACCCAGTGATCAAACCGGCCATCCCTATATGGGATCCGAACCCGTGGCCTTGGTGTTATCAGCACCGCACTCTACCGAGTGAGCCACAGGCCGGCCCAGCCTGGTCATTTTCAAACTGGGGAGCTCCGGTGTCCCAGCTTGTTTCAACCCAGGTGGCCAGAGCTGGGCTCCTCCTAAGACCGTTTAGGTAACAACAGTAACAACAATGAAAAGGTTCTGCTGCTCAAACAGGGCCTGAGCAAATAACGGATCTAACAGAGCTCATCTGGGGCAAGTGTGCGTGACTCTAATCCGGGGGCTCCCACCATGCTGAGGGGAACCCGGAAAATAAGAACAGCTGTAGCGACAACACGGACCCTTGGGATGCTTAAGAAGAAGGTTTCAATGCATCAAAGACCTCATCTATCTGCTGGCATCACCCCAGCAGCAATATCTCTTGCCTCCCTGCCCTTATGACCAATTTAATGTCGGAGAAGTAGATGGAGCTGGAGCCAGAGAGGCAAATGCTGGCTTCCTTCTCTTCCTACATCACCATCTAACCTCCAGCATATGACTCCCCAGGTGGCATCACCCTCGTGGACAGGGCAGCAAGAGTGAGTCGGGGACCCTGAGATGGCTTCATCTCACGCTGTGTAAAATCGAGTCTCTGAAGACCTGCAACTCCCCCAGACACTGGTCCCACATGAGGACCTGATGCTCACACGGCAAGGTGGGTTTCCAGTAAGAGTAGATATAGGAAAAGAAGCTCGTTCACGTTCAGAGCTCAGTAAGGACACAAAGCACACAGCAAACATTAACAAAGCCTATCTCTGGCCATGGCGGAGGACCTGCAGGAAGTCCTTCCAAGGCGAGGCAGGTCCTCCCGCTGTATGCGCCTGTGGCTTGTGCACTCTGCCTCCCCGGGGCACCCATCAGTCTGTGACCACAGCCATTCACTGCACAGGCGCCTGTCTGTGTCTCCAACCAGAGGGTCTTTTGCTGCTCCCTGTGTTTATGAGACCTAGCCGCACACCTGGCTCAGAATAGGTGCTTAATCTGTGAGGCACGAAAACAAAAGCAAAAAACAAAAACACGAAAGCCACGGCATGAAACATTATTCAGTGCAACCAGAAACGGGCTCTCAAGCCATGAAGAAACATGGCAGAACTGTCAGCGCTTATTGCTAAGTGCCAAACTGAAAAGGCTATATGCTGCAAGACGTTCTGGAAAAGGCAAAACTATAGAGACAGTGAAAACATCAGCATTTGCCAGGAGGAGGAACAGGTGGAGCACAGGTGACTCTCAGGGCAGAGAAGCTTCTCTGTACGGTCCTGTATTGGTGGATACATGTCATTACACATTGTTCCAAACCTATACAAGGTTCAATACCCAGAGTGAACCCCAGTGTAGACCGTGAACTCTGGGTGGTGGTGGTGATGTCACTGGAGGGTCATCCACTGTGGGGGTGCACCACTGTGGGGCATGGATGGGGGAGGCTGTGTGTGTTGGAGGGCGAGGGCTATCTGGGGACTCTATACTTTCCACTGAGTTTTGCTGTGAATCTAAAATTGCTTTAAAAAAAAATAAAGTTTATTAGGAAAAAAAAAAAAGCCCCCACAGGGGATGTCCCTGGGCCCACACTCACCTGCCCATCGTGCCTGCGCTTCTTCATGAACTGGGTGATGCACATGCTGCCTGCTGACTTCCTCTTTAGAGACACAGGCGTGCCCTGGCTAGGCCCCGAGGCAGGGACACCAACACTGTCCTCTCTGGGGGCTGAGGGCACCATGGTGACATAGCTCCACTGGCATGGTACAGGAAGGTGCTCCTGGTCAAAGTTCTTCAGCACCTGCGGGTGGACGTACCAGCACATCCTGAAGTCAGGCCTCTTCTCGTACACAGAGTTCTCGGAAATGATCCGCTTGAGCCTGGCCTTGGAGGGCACGGCAGCCCCCTCGCCAGTGGTGGGCGTCTGCGGGCGGGAAGACGAGGGGCTTGGGGGGCTGCTGGTGTCCTTGCTGAGCAGGCCTCGGCGGCAGCGCTCCTGAAACTCCCGGATGATCACCTTGCTCCCGTTCACGTTGCCGTGCAGCAGCGGAAGCAGCTGGGCCAGGACTGGCGGGGAGAAGGAGGGACAAGGTGGGCTCAGGGCGCGCAGGGCATGGCCAGCTTCATGGGTGGCCTTGGAAGGGTGGACTTTAGCCTAGAAGCGATTCCGTGGCTCCCAAGCCTCCCCAGGAGAGCTCAGGTCAGGTAAGTTCCCACAGCTACCTTTATGCTCCTATTCTTCCCTTGTAAATGATCATCACGCTCTGATTTTGAGCAGCTATCGCTCCCCTGGCTTCTGTAAAGCAGGCAGACACAGTAGCAAGAAAGCATTGTCCCAGGTCACCCTGTGCCTGTCCTAGTTGGTAATGGATGAATTAAAGGACCTGCCTCGTACTGCTACTGCGAATAGCAGTAAATGAATGGACCAGCTCAGTAAGCGCTGGCCTCTGTTATTCTGCAAGGACCCTTATCAATCCACTCAGCTCTGGAACTATCAGGAACTACCTGGAGCAGTTGGGAGCTTCCCCACACCCCCGCACTCACTTTGCTGGTCCCTCTTCTCCCTCTTGGAGGCCTTGGGCGTCTGCTCCTCCTCAGGGGGCACCGTCTCCAGGAGGCACGCCGTGAACTGCTGCAGCACCTTCAGGTCGGCACTGGTGCAGCTGTCCCTGTCGGCCACCCACACGCAACCGATCTTCACGGGCTGGAGGACACGGAACCTCTTCCCCTTGGCTAAAAACTCATCCCACTCCTTGGCCTTCAGTTTCTGGCGAACCCTGTGGTTCTCTGGGTCAGCGCATTCCTTGCAGGTTAGAAAGCACAAGTTTATTTAGTGTCCAACCCCTTAGAAGAGATGAAACGGGCAGAGAGCAGTTCTGGATACTGAATGAGGATTCACACTGACTCCTTTTGGCAAGTCACAGGTTTTTATTTATTTATTTTTTTCTTTCTTGGTGGCTGGCTGGTGCAGGGATGGAACCCTGGACCTTGGTGTTATCAGCACCATACTCTAACCGAGAAAACTGGCCTACTTGAGTCACAGATATTTCTATGACCTCATCTGCTAAGCCTCTTGAGCCACTCTGAATTTTCTGGCTGGTGTGTGATCACAGAGCTGTCAAATGACCAACCCGAAATCACATACCCCATTCAGCAACAGGGCTGGGCCTCTGCCCAGGTGGTCACAGACACAGAAGCCAGCTGAGACCACTGTCTGAGACAGACAGGTCTAAGTCTAAAGGTGTGACGAGACGCCAGTTTGCTGTGTTGGTCAGAGATGTATGAGGAATGCACCCCCTTTGAGTGTGACTGAGACAGTCCTCTTGTACCTTTCACAGCTTCCCCACCTCCTCCCAGACACTGCAACCTGGCAGGCCTTTACAGCCCTAAAAACTGCTTCTTCAAAAGTTCCACAATCTCACAGAATTACTAGTGGTGGCAGGAGGGTTCACGTGCAGGGACATGGGGGAACCATCTGGGGAGATGGGAAAGTTCTTCTGCATTTTGCTTTGGACAGTTTCACAAACCGTGCTGTTGTTAGAGCCTAAGACTGAAGACCTGCAGTCAAGCTGCACGTCAGTTATGCATCAGTTACACATCCTCCTAACCCCCATACTGCACCACACTCTCTCTCCAGGCTTCCCTGGCTTGGCATTTCCTCCTCTCTGGGCAAGTTCTGCCACTCTCCCAGCCAAAACCAAGTTGGGGTTCAATCACTCCCACAAATGAACCCTCCGAGGCTGTGGCAGGGACTGGGGTGTGAGCTGAATTGGCCGTGGGTGGACTGAGACCCACCATCACCGCCCTGGGTCTGGAGCCACCGAGCGCTGGCCCCCCGAATGAGCTCCTCCTGAACCAGGGACTCCCCTCTACCCCCTCACCTCAGTCACGCCTTCGTCCTCAGACAGGTACCCATGGGGCACAAAAAAGCCATCATCCTCATCTTCATCTTCTCCCACTTCATCATCATCATCCTCAAAAAGAGAAAAAAATAAGCTCATCATATGTGGAAACAGAGCAGGTGCTTCACAGAAACGCACATCTGTGAACATCTGCTGCTGGGAAGGTGGCTCCCATGGACGCTGTGAGGGTCAGAGGAATCCCGAAGCCAGGTAGGAACAAACACGTGTGCAGCAGGCCAGAGGTAAGGCAAAGGGAGGGGTGGGGACCATGGTGAACCAGGGCACAGATGCCAAGCAGGTGCATGTCACCAGATAAGGTTTTCCAAGAGAAGCTGGAAATCCAGACATAAAGCATGGGCTTAAATTTTCAGACCACTCTGCAAGTCAAATGCCAGCTGTCTGTGAGTGAATTCAGCCTGGGGCCTGCCATGGGCACTGGTGAAAAGTGGAGACCATCCCAGGTCTGTCCTTACCCCTTCGCTGTGGGACAGGGATTCCCCGGGCTCCTCCTCTTCCCACTCCTCATCACTGTCCACCTCATAGTCGAGGAGTTTCTGAAAAAAGAAAGACGTAGGGCGTGACTATTGTCCCCGGGCCTGGAAGACGAGGACAGAGCATAAAGGCTTGAATACTTGTGGAATCCCAGAGCCCAGTGTCAGAAAGCCACAATGAGAAGGAAATACAAGAAGAGAAACGCACCTTGGCCGGGGCACCCCCGCAATGCGCTTACTCGGTCTTGGGCCCAGGGGTCCCTCGGGTGGACGACCATCGTCTTCTTATTCCATGTCCCCCAGTAAGCGGGTCGGTGGTTCTCGGAAAACTGCAGGAGCTTCATCCTGCCAAACTTCTTCCTGTCGGGAACACTGTCCCCTTTACTGCTCTCCACGATCACGACATCGCTGTGGGGCAAGACGCTGCACTCAGGACCACACTTCCTTTGCCCAGCCCTGCACTCACATGCTACCCAGGGTCTTCCCAAGGAAGTCAGCCACGAAGGTTCCAAAAAGACTGGTAATCGTTAAACAACAAACCGCACCACTGTTCCCAAAGAAAGGCGAGGCAGCTACTCAAGGGACACAAACTGAGGAAAAAACAGGGGAGCAAAGAGGAGGGGAAACAAGATGGGGCCATGGGGCCGCGCTGCCGCCCTGTGGCACTGTTAGCAGGTGGGGAGTGCAGAATCAGTGAGTCAACAGGGACAGGGAGCTGCCCTTCCACAGAGGGAAGAGCAAGCCCTCTTGGGAGAGTCAGGGAAGATCAGCAGAGATTCCAGGGGCTCCCAGGAAGCCGGCAACAGCCCAGAACCTAGCACTCTCTACCCTGGGTCCCTCAGAGCTGACCACTGCCCTCAGGCTTCATCAATGGGCAAGGCTATTCTCCTCGGTCTCTCACCTGTTAAAAATGTCCATGTTCTGGCTGGAAAACCTGGTGGGTCCAGACCTGAGAGGCTGCCGGCCTTTGAGATCTTTCAAGTAGGAGAACTCGCCACTCTGCTGCTGGAGGAGCTGGTCTAACTGATCACAGAGGTCTTGATCGAAGGTGGTCCGACACCAAGGGGCAAGAACCATGTGCTCTTTAATTTCAAAGGGGGCAAACTTCCCACAGGAGCCAGCCAGGGTCTGAAATAAAGAACAGACCCTGTGGGACACCCAAACAATGCAATGCCACTCAGTGAGGGAGAGGATTAACCGCTGACACGCACAGCAGGCTGCTTTTGAGATTGATTCATCCAGGCTAAGTCACAGGAGCAGACTTAAAAGCCTATTTGCCATGTGAGTCCACTTCTGGAAACGGCAAAGCTACAGGGGCAGAAATCAGATCAGCAGTTGCAGGGGCTGGCAGTGGGGAGGGAGAGACTGACTATAAGAGAGCTGTTTGCAGCAACGGAAATATTCTACATCTTTTTTTTTTTTTGTCTTTTGTCTTTTTCCGTGTCCGGCAACGGATCGCAACCCTCAGTGTTGCCCCCGTACCGGACCGGGGACCGGCAACGGGATCGCAACCCTCGGTGTTGCTCCCACTCCTCGCTCAGCCAGTGAGCGGGAACCGGTCTGTATGTGGGATCCGAACCCTCGGGCGGGAGCGCCGCCGCACTTCCCAAGCGGCGCACTATCCAGTGCGCCACTGGGCCGGCCCTCTACATCTTGATTATAGGGATGGTTATGTGGCCCTATCAAAACTCACTGAAAGTCCTCCAGTGTGAATTTTACTGTATGTAAATATCACCTCAGTAAACCTGGCTCAAAAACAAAACAAAACAAAAGATGACACTGGCACCCAAAATTGAAGCAGAAGCATCGACAGGCAGCACCATGCCTCAAACAAGAGCCCCAAGCCAGGACCAGATACCAGCTCCTTCTTCTTGCACTGTGCCCAGGTGAGGAACCTGGGAGAACGACCAGCTCACCTAGAGCCACGGCATGAAAACACAAGATGATTTACGACACACAGCCAATTTCGCCACCACAGCGTGGTGTGAACCTGAAACATGAGTCTGGTCCCATGGTCAATTCCAGTAGATTTTATTCCCTTTCTCCCCAACTTCCTTCAGTGTCTTTAGCACCTATCCCAGTGGATCCCAAAGCTGGCAGCACTCAGGCCGGCTGAGGCTGGCAGCCCTCAATGTGTGAGCCATGCGGGAACTGTCAAAAACCTAAACACCTAAACCACGCCTGTCAGAGTCTCTGGGAGGGATCCAGGCTCCAGTACTTTATAAAGCTCCCTGGAGAGAGTCCAACATGCAGCCAGGGACAAGAAGCAGTGGCTGTTCTCCTCATGAAATGGATCTGGGAACATCCATTATCCACATGGTAAAAAAGTGAGGGCCACACCCTACACCATGAACTCAAAGGACTCCAGCTAAGCTAAGGAGCTGAACGTAAAAACAAAACTTAAGCTCAAAAAAAAGGGGGGGAGGAACTGGAAAAAATTAGGACAGTGTGTTTATAACCGTAAGATACATAAGGCTTTCCAAACAAAACCCAACTGCGGTAAAAGAATTAAAATGTTGACATTAAAAAAATTCTGGCCACCTGTCAAAAAAAACCACACAATGCTGTATAACAAAAGACACCATAAACAAAATTGAGAGGTGAGTAAAGACTATGAGGGATTATTTGCAAAATATATTACAATGGATGAAAATCCCAACTATATGAAAAAGAAATTCTTACAAATCAGACAAAGAAAGCCGATCCTGTAGAAAAATGGGTAAAAAAATAGGAATTGGCAAGTCACAGAAGAGATAATATGGGACACAATCATGAAAAGATTTCAACTAAATCAATTTTAGTTGATTTCAACTAAAAATCCAATAGAAATGGAAAGTAAAACAAGGATACCCATTTTTTTAACCACCAGGTTCGCAAAGTTAAAAGAAAATTTCTGTCAACCAGTGACGGCAGCAGGTAGGAAGAGGGTATTTTCACGTGCTGCTGGGGACATACTTCACTAGTGCTTCCTGTCTGGTGGGCACTCTGGCCGTGACTAATTCGGTCACTGTGGCTGTCCTTTACCCCAGCAGCAGGCACACTTCTGCAGGAATGCACAAGTGCAGAGAGGTGTGCTTGGGGACATTCATTGCACCCCTGATGGGCATAAAAACTGTGACACCATTGCCTTATAAGATGTTACACGGCAACGAGAAGGAATGAGGCAAATCCGTGGTCATCACACCATGTATGCGTACTTCAGGTCATCATGCTGTACACCTTAAATCACACCTTGAACATGTTCAATTTTTGTTAATTAAATATTTTAAAACAGGGCCAGCCAGTTAGCTCAGTTGGTTAGAGCACAGCCTTGTAACACCAAGGTCAAGGGTTGAGATCCCCTTACCGGCCAGCTGCCAAATAAATAAATAAATATTTTAAAACAAAATAAAAGATGGATCTGTTAAAAAATACAATAATAGAATGTGCTGACATGGCAAGAATCCAAGACATGGTTAAGGAGATGAAATAGCCACATACATTCAAAACAATACTGAATTACACATGTATTTAAATACACAAATGTGGGTGTGTGGGGGTGTAAATACACATAAAAGGGTATGGAAGGACACCCTTCCATTGCAGGAGATGGGCTACCTCTGGAAAATGGGGGTTGGGGGTATGTGTGTGTACGTGAGGGGGAAGGAAGGGATCTCCCAGTGCATATGCTGGTTCAGAAGTTCTGAGCTGCTAGGTGATACCAGAAAGGGAAAGTAAAAATTTGAGCTGAATTCTATACTTTTTTCTTTTTTGGCAGCTTAGCCAGTACAGGAAATCAAACCCTGGATGTTGGTGTTACTAGCACCTCACTCTAACCAAGTGAGCTACCTGGCCAGCCCTTATACTTTTGTTTTATAGCTAAGCTTGCCTCCCCCGCCCTCGCAGGTCAAGCATAAATCTCCTGAGGATAAGGAGCAGGTTGTCTTCCCTTACACCTAAACCCAAATGATTCATGAAGCAACCTCTGAAAACTCAGCACATTTATCAAACGTGCAGCCTCTTTGCCTTCTGGGGACAAAGTGAATGACAAAACATTGAACTTCCACACTTCACCAGAAACAAAAGCTCCCTGGGTCACTGCAGGCTCCCTTGCAACAAAAAGGAAGCTGGCTGGTTGGAAGATACCCTTTCAGTGTTAAAAAAGAAAAGCCTCCCAAAGCACCAAAAGTTGAGCCAAAAGAAGCCAGCTGCTCACCTTCGGGGCCTGTGGAGTCTTTGGTTTCTGAAAGAACCTCGTGATTTCAGCTTTCTCTGCCTTAATGCGCTGCAATGTAAGAGAAGATGAAGACAAACTGTGTTGTAAAACATGCAAAGGCCTCCAGAATTGAACCCCAAGCATTTTTATGTTGAGGCATTATTTTGATTTTTAGCTCTCAAAACTCATGGGCCAGCAACAGGGCAACAGCCAATCTCAAAATGTCAGAGTTTTCCTTGTGGCAGAAGCACCAGCACATTGAGCCAGCGGGCATGTGACAAGCCAGTGCTGAGAACAAGAACAGACTGAAATGGACTCATCAGTCCCCATGGGTACCATTTGGTTTCCCAAGACCCAGAGAACATTAGGCAGCAATTTAGGCAAAAATCCCATTTACGACATCTGCCTCCCAAATAGGCTGGAATACTGAGGCTCTGTGAGAATGCTCTCTACCTTTTCCTCTTCTCTTAACCGTTTCTCCTCTTCCTTTTTCCTTTTCTCCTCGAGTTTCGCCCTGTGAGACATCAAATGAAGTTTCAGCCAACCTTTTGGCTTTGGTTCTGGAAGTGACCACAGTTAGCACTCAATGGCTAGTATGTGGTACGTATTTTATTTTGCATCAAATGAATGTAAGATACTCTTACGTTTACTATATGACTATTACGTAGATATTAACAAATAAAAATGGAAAATAATAAAATCCTTCATGTGACTAGAGTATAAAAAAGTAAAGACATTTCGGTGCCTTATTGGCGTAGACAAAACCCCCATTCCTATGATGACAACCTGTGAGTTGGTTACAAGGGGGAAGAAAGGTCCCAGGAGGACAGAGATGGGCTGGACACGAGGAGTGACAGGGCACAGAAGTGCTTCTTATCCCTCGCCCCAAGAGCTTGATTTAGAGCCCGTGTATGGGAAATTGAAGGGAACGACTGGGAGCTGTCACCTTCCCTCCAAATGCTACAGCCAGGCCTGCATCAGAGTGGCTATACCAGGAGCCGGCAGAGGGGAGGCCTCGGTCCCCAAACGTCCCCAGACCAGCCCGCAGGCACTCACTCCAGCGCCTCCCGCCGCTCCTTGCGCCTCTCTTCCTTGATTCGCTGCTTTTCCGCCTTCTCCTTCTCGTCCTTCTCCCGTTTCTCTCGCCTCTCCTTTTCTTTCAGCTCCTTCTCCTCCTCCTTCTTCTTTCTGGCCTCCTCCTTGGCTCGTTTGGCCTCTTCTCTCAGCTTCTCCTTTTCCTCCTTTTCTGCGCGTAACTTGAGCCGCCTGCCCAGCTGCTCAAGATTCTGCAAGACAACAGGTGGCCTACTGTGGACCTCTCCCAGGAAGGGTCCGGTCAAGATCGTGAGGACAACGGTGGATGGAAGGGAAAGAGTCACGGAGCCAGCGCTAGAAGACTCCAGGCAACACCCTTGTACAGAAGTGACTTTCTAAAATCCATGACATTTCCTCCCGTCTTGAGAAAAATGACGAGGATTAGCTATTTGTCACAGCACTTTGTGGGAAATTCAATAGGAGATTCATTTAAAACACCATCTCGGGGCTGGCCAGTTAGCTCGGTTGGTTAGAGCACAGTGTTATAACACCAAGGTCAAGGGTTTGAATCCCCTTACCACCCAGCCACCAATAAATAAATAAATAAATAAAATACTAATAAATAAATAAAATAAAATCTTTAAGGTCAAGGGTTCAGATCGCCTCATGAGCCAGCCGCAAAAAAACAAAAAATAACCCTCAAACTGAAACAAATAAAAAATACCATCTTTACACACGGGTGAAATTTATCTATTTTTCTACTTAATTAAAAAACAGGGCCAGCCCGTGGCTCACTCGGGTGAGTGCGGTGCTTATAACACTAAGGCCACGGGTTCGGATCCCATATAGGGATGGCCGGTTTGCTCACTGGGTGAGCGTGGTGCTGACAACACCAAGTCAAGGGTTAAGATCCCCTTACTGGTCATCTTTAAAAAAAAAAAAAAATTGTGGGGTGCTCCCATGGCTCCTTCGGGAGAGTATGGTGCTGATAACACCAAGGCCATGGGTTCGGATCCTATATACGGATGGCCAGTTACCTCACTTGGGAGAGCATGGTGCTGACAACACCAAGTCAAGGGTTAAGATCCCCTTACTGGTCATCTTTAAAAAAAAAAAAAAATTGTGGGGTGCTCCCATGGCTCCTTCGGGAGAGTATGGTGCTGATAACACCAAGGCCATGGGTTCGGATCCTATATAGGGATGGCCAGTTACCTCACTTGGGAGAGCATGGTGCTGACAACACCAGGCCAAGGGTTAAGATCCCCTTACCGGTCATCTTTTTAAAAAACAAGAACAAAAACAAAAACAAATTAAGAGGAGGCAGCCCTCTCTCAGGTTTGAACTGTGTGTATTTAACGAGGCAGCTATGGTAAAAGAAAGAAACAAAAACACCTGCACGCTTTGCCTTCCTATTTTAGAAACAAAAACACAGTTCTCACCCAACCCGCAAACCATACCACATTACAAGGATGATCTGAGTTCTTTTGAAATGAATGGAATGAGGCAAGGACAGGGAATCTACTGGGTAAGCCTCAAAATAGTGGGGTTTCAGTAGGAATTTGGGGAGAGAAACAAACAAAAAAGGTGGAGAATGAATGAGAACATATAAAAAATAAAAGCAAAAAAACAGAACACTGCACACCCAAAAGAAAAATTCTCTTTAAAACCATTTCTCGGGGGCCGGCCCGGTGGCGCACTGGATAGTGCGCCGCTTGGGAAGCGCGGCAGCGCTCCCGTCCGAGGGTTCGGATCCCACGTACAGACCGGCTCCCGCTCACTGGCTGAGCAAGGCACGGGAGCAACGCCTAGGCTTGCGATCCCATCGCCAGTCTCCGGTCCGGTACGGGGGCAACACTGAGGGTTGCGATCCGTTGCCGGACACGGAAAAAAAAAGACCAAAAAAAAAAAAAAAAAGCCAAAAAAAAAAAAAAAAAGCCAAAAAAAAAAAAAAAAAGCCAAAAAAAAAAAAAAAAAGCCAAAAAAAAAAAAAAAAAGCCAAAAAAAAAAAAAAAAAGCCAAAAAAAAAAAAAAAAAGCCAAAAAAAAAAAAAAAAAGCCAAAAAAAAAAAAAAAAAGACCAAAAAAAAAAAAAAAAAAAACCATTTCTCAGGATCCGAAAAAAAGGTTAAATGTTAAGAGAGGATGAAGAGTCGTCTTTATGGCTATGGCAGTATTTCATTACTTTTTTTCCCCTATGTATTTTCTTCCTTTTTAATTAATTTTTTATTGGTAGTATTTCATTATTGTCAGGGGAAAAAACTTTAAGGTATGAACACTTCATTTGATGACATCAGTTCCTCATTCCAAAGAAATGGTACGTGGCCTGGGATTCTGAGCAATTATATAATCTTAAAATTAATGGTAAACAAGCTCCCTTTCCTGAATGAAGGGGCGGTTACCTCCTAACCTCGCACTAGGTGATTTTCATAGGACCATTACTCATAAAGACGGGCTTCTCCACTGTCAGGAGCTGGACAACTCACTTTTGGGTTTGGGCATAAAACTATATATGCCCTGGTCTCTAAAGAAACATTCTAAATGCCCTGACAAACCTCTGGCTGCTTTAACAAAAGCCACGGAGACACACATGAGAGACATGAGTTTTTTTTTCTCACGGGTCTCCTGCACATCTTCACCTGACACATAGGATACCTGGAATCGGTGACTGGTCTGGACTGAACAACAAGACCCCCCACAGAACTGCAGGGTGGGGAGGAGGAGTCTCCTCCCTTGTTGCTAAATAAGGAAACAGAAGGCTTCTAGAAATCATAGGTACACCAGATCTCTCTATACTTGAGGGTTCCCACCCACCATATGTACCTAACTCTGAAATTCTAATAAAGAATGAGATAAACTGTTAAAAAAAAAAAAAAAAGTCCAAAATCTGACCCACAAAAACTGAGTGCAGCCATAAGAAACCACCCACGAACACAGAGCCAGCTGGCAGGGGCAAGGATGCCCAATGGTCTTCACCACAATAAGAAAGTGATGACCTCCCAGGTAACAGATTTGGAGACTCGGCAGGTAGCACCTGAGAAATCACCGCTCACCTAGTGCAGGGGCCATTAAGAAGTTACAGCATGTGGGAGTGAGTGAACTTAAATCCTTTCAAGGGAGACAGGGGTGTTGGGAAAGGAAGGAGGTGCTTTCAAAGGCAATTTTTAGCTACAATGGAATGCTCAACTATAAAGACAGTAGTAATACTACTACTAATTCGAAAAGCTTAGAAAAGGCTACATGCAAAACCTTAGGATTTAGCAAAGCTAAAAATCCACAAGCCATGAAGCCCAGGTATGTAAAATGAAGCAAGAATCAAAATAATGGTCAGAAAAAGCAGGGGGAGAAGTAAACACTGGACCAAAGGAAGTGCAAAGGGCTTTGCTTACTATTTAATGCAAAAAGCACAGCAGGTTAATTTTCTATTTCAGGGAAAATGTCTTACTCTTTGCAGTCTCATCTTGTTCTTCTCTGTAGAACCTGTGACGCATTTCTTAGTTTTCTGAAACAAAAGACATTTATCTGTAAACAGGGATCGCTTCCGTCACTTTAACATGTTCACTATATTGCACTGTCCCTAGGATAAGAGGAGGAGGGACTGAGTGATCCACGCAATTAAGAACTTCTTGGCAGAACAAGAAAAATAAAAACTTTTCCACCTGACCGGTTTTTTACCAACAGATCCAAAACATCACAGTGGGGTCACGAACCCAAATGAACGTGCACATACATCTATGTTCTGAATTTAAATTAAAAGGGAGACTAGAGAGGCAGATTAAAAAACAAAACAAAACAAACAAAAAAACCTAAGGAAGTGGGCCACCCACGAAACGAGGCAAGCGTGGAAATAAAAGCCACAGACGGTGGCCTCGGTGACAGGGAAATGAAAGGGTGTGGCAGGATTTGTGGCAAGTTAGAGACGACGTGCCTGCCCAAAGGGGATGGAGATCTTCCAGGAACGTAGGCCATGAAGTGATGACCCTTCCAGTTGTTCCAACAGAAGCTGACACCAGGAATTTTATGTGAATTTTTTAGTTAATGCTTGAAAACTGGCACTATTGGGGCCAGCCCGTGGCTCACTCGGGAGAGTGCGGTGCTGATAACACCAAGGCCATGGGTTCAGATCCCATATAGGGATGGCCGGTTCGCTCATTGGCTGAGCGTGGTGCTGACAACACCAAGTCAAGGGTTAAGATCCCCTTACCGGTCATCTTTTTAAAAAAAAAAAAAAGAAAAGAAAACTGGCACTATGTGAATTAAATAAAATGTGTCTATGGGCTGGATTCCTGTGGGCCACCGATTTGTTCTGTCTGCCTAGAGCAACTCCACTCTTCAGAACACTTATAAAAAGCGATCAGCTTGCCAGAGGTGGAAATCTGGACCAGAACCAGGGCATGACACTCTCTATCACCCGGCTTCAAACTGAGCAAGTGCTAGAAGGAGTGACCAAGGCACACGTCTTGACTCTCTCACCATTCTGGCTCAGTGGTCCAAGGAAGAAATGTGAACAGGGAGTTTAGACTACGGGCCTAAGCCACCTCCCACCTGAGCAGAGGGTGCTGAATGCAAACCACTGGAGTGCACATCAATGGGAAGAGAGGGTTATGGCTGGAAGGAAATAACACTCCAACTTCATTTTACACTTGGAGAAGAAGCTAAAAAGGAAGCTGCGGTTAAGTTGAAAAACCAAAGGCCCACATCCCTTGAAATTGTCTGACAGTTTGACAAAACTATGCAACCATGATTTATTTACCTGGGAAAGCAGAATCCCTAATCAGGACCCCTCACAGAATAAAAGTTTCAGATTAATAAACTGGAGAAGACAGCATTCTCACTTAGGTCCCACTGAGTTCTTTCTGGACTAAACCTTTCCTTTAGGGAAGGGCCAAAGCACAGACATGAGAAGGCCTCCATGCTGGCAAGAGCTCAGTGGCCACCATGAGTGGGCCAGAGTTCTCAATCTCTGGTGAGCCCATGGCAACAGAACACGCCAGTCTAAAGCAGTCTTAGCAACTGGTTAAGAAAAAGCATCTGTCTCTCCAGAATCCACTTTGCCTGCCAAGTCTGTGGACTTCACCTCCATACTAGAGTATTTAACAGCAGAATTTGTTAAATTGCTATTTCTCTATATTGCTGTCCTTTGTGTTCAAAGATTACAGTATGGAAGGTGATTGCCAGACCCCTACATAAGAGTATCTGTGGTGAGGAGAAAGCACATTTTAGCTTTGCCCATACTTGCTAAATTTCAGCTGTAGAATCTAGTGCCTTTTACTATTCTTCCTCTTTGCTATAAGTCCAGGAATAACAGTTGACTTGCCTAGCAGGAGCCAGGCTAATAATACCCAGCTAGTAATATCCAATGACCTGAGCAATTGCTCTTAATTTAAAGCCAGCATCTCTAATGCTTTACTGAACATTCTGATGGGCCTTGTTGAAACTTTATCTTCCTGAAATTTGATCCAAGTGCTCAAAATTTTTAGAGCGGGCTCTCAAAATCACACACCATGCCGCTACACTTTACCAATCTAGAGCTCAGCCAGACAGCACCCTCGTCTGCCAAAAAGTACAATCTGGGATCCCAGGAGGAAGCTAAAACACAACAAGCAACTACCTCACATAGTCAAGACAGATTTCACTGGGTCTGGGCATTAAAATTTCGCACTTCTTTCAGGAGACTCTGATTTTATACATAAGGCTATCTAATTCCTAATCCCAGGGCAGATGAGCAGCAGGGAATGGGGCAAGGGAGAGGCTGCTATGGGTGGGCCCAGCAGCAGCAGCTAAAATCCTAACAGCAGGGGAGAGCAGGCAGAGGGGAAAAGAGAAAAAACCCAAAACTGGTCCAACCATAACAGAGTGCAAGTTGGCAAGAATTAATGTGTGCATTCCTATGAGCTGGCGAGAACTCAACCTACCTAAAGCCCAAGGCAGCATGCAGAAAGAAGCAAATTACGACTGTTTTGTCAAGGCCAAGCATAGAAACAACAGAAATATCCATCAGACGATATAAATCACAGTATACCCACACCACAGGAGTATAATACAGCAGTTGAAGAGAGATCTTTCCATCCCAATATAAAAAATGTCTAAGACATCCGTAAGTGACAAAGAAACATATTTACAGTATAAGGAAACAAAGTGATACTGTGCATTTCTAAAGGATCTCTCTTGCATACACACAACACAGAAAAATATAACAAGCTGATAACGGCAACCTTGGGTAAAAAGAGAGGGGACAAAAGGGGGCTGTAACATTTCCATGATTTTTTAAGCGGCTGGCCAGTACCAGCATCCAAACCCTTCACCTTGATGTTATCAGCACCACGCTCTCCTAAGTGAGCTAACCAGCCAGGCCCGTGGTTTTTTTTTAAACATGGAGAATTTAAAATTTGTATGATTTCAATTATATGGGAGAAAGTTCCAGCAGTTTGGGCTCATTTGGTACAGAAGCAAGCCAAAGATTCCAGTAATGCAACTGCGTCATTATCATTTATGAAAGAATAATCTCAAATCATCAATAAAAAAAGCTAAATTACAAGTCTAATTGCAGACAAACTTGAGAAATGATTCCTTCCCACATGGTAAAAAGCTCTAATACTAAAAAGGAACTCTTCAGCTATTTAAAGCACCCTAGGATTACCTAAAAAAAAAAAAAAAGAACAACGGTATTCCTGAATCATTGTTTTTCAAAGTGAGCTCCTCCAGATCCTGCAGTACTTTTTTTTTTTTTTTTTTTTTTTTTTCTAAAAAAATGACCGGTAAGGGGATCTTAACCCTTGACTTGGTGTTGTCAGCACCACGCTCACCCAGCGAGCAAACCGGCCATCCCTATATGAGATCCAAACCCATGGCCTTGGTGTTATCAGCACCACACTCTCCCAAGTGAGCCACAGGCCGGCCCCCTTGGAGTACTTTAAAAAGAAAAAAAAGAAAGCTCCCTGGGAAAGGACAGCAGGATCTGTATTTTAACAAGCTCCCATTTTCTTGTATTTTTAACAAGAAAAAAAAAAAAAAAAAAAAAAAAAAAAAAACGAAAGCACACAAAATAGAGGATCAATGAATGCCTGGAGGTTCCAAACACAGAGATTTTATAGTACAAACTCAAGGATGAACAGACTTCAGTAAAAACCACACACATTACATGGTAACATGCTTTCAACAAGTTCCCACCTACCATCTGGGAAGAAGGGCTGGTGGGGAAGGAAAGGAGGAAAACAAAAATATTCCCCAAAGTAACCCCCAGGCCCCATGGCAGGAAAAGGTGTTAGTAACAACACCCCCCCCACCCCCCACC